AAAAAAGAGGGGGGCACCGGTGAAAACAGAGGCGATCGAGGCGCCATCAACTCCTCCAGCGATGCAGAAGAATGCAAGAAGCATCGCTGGAGTAGGGACTTCCTGCCCGGAACGGCTAACTCGGAGTTTTCCCAGCTGCGTTAGACTACAACTCCCATCGTCCTGAACTGCCCGTTTCTGATGAGCACAGACAGAAAGGGAGAAACGGAAAGGATATACTTACGAGCTGGCTTCGAAGAGACTGAGGGTGTTGGGGTTACTGCAAGGAGACACAGAGAGAGAGAGAGACAGAGAGATTGGTTAGCAAACTTCACCCCAACATCGAATCGCAGCCTCAGTTGTAGTAAGGACCATCTGTAGCTCAGGGTTCAGCTGTTGGGTTAAGTTATACATGTTAAACTAGCTCGATACCCGGGTGCTTCGCTACGAAACGATGTGGTGGGGCTTAGTTTTTGGGGAGGAAAATTAGGGGGAAAATTTCTGCCTCTGCCCACCAGCATCCATCGGTATTCATCTGGCTAGTGTCCCGTCAGTGTGAGTAAGTTGAGGGCTGTTTGGAAACTGAAGCAGTATTTGCTGTGTGAGCAAGAAGGAGACAGCAAGGAGCCTGGGCGTGGCTTAGCTCCACTGCAGTTGGAACAGATTTCTTTTCAGGTGAGGAGTGAAAGAGTTGAGGGATGTTTGGAAACTGAAACAGTATTTGCTGTGTGAGCAAGTAGGAGACAGCCAGGAGCCTAGGCGTGGCTTAGCTCAACTGTTCTGTACTAAACCTGCTTGGTGCTGTGAAACTGAACGGAAACTCCCCCTCTTCTCCTTGTGTTTTGCAGGTGGAACATGTTTCTTTTTAGGTGGGGAGGGGGAGTAGAACTCCTTAGCATCAGAGCGTGTTAATAATAATAATATAGGAAATACAAATGCTCTGGATGGTCATTTTGAAAAATCCTTTTTTAGTGAGCCCCTAGAAGCCAAGAGGAACATAAGTGGCAAATTTCAAGTTTGTAGGCTTTACGGTTCTGGAGATTTTGTGATGACGTCTGAGTGGCATTTCGCTTTTATACATATATAGATTTACAGGTAGTCCTCAACGTACAACCACAATAGAGTCCAACGTTTCTGTTGCTGAGCGAGACATTTGTTCAGGGAGCTTTGTCCCCATTGTACGACCTCTTTTTTTTTTGCCATCGTTGTTAAGCGTCAACTTAGTAACACGTCCTTAGGGGAATCTGGCGGCTTCCCCCGTTGACTTTCCTCGTTGGAAGGTCGTAAAAAGGGATCCCCTGACCCCAGGGACGCTGCGACCGTCGTAAATACGAGTCGGTTCCCAAGCGTCTAAATTTTGATGGCGTGACCGTGAGGAAGCCACGACGGTCTGAAAAACGGCCGTTAAGTCACGTTTTTCAGGGCCGCTGTAACTTGGAACGGTCGCTAAATGAAGTATTGTAAGTCGAGGACTCATCTGAATCAGAACACTCTGCCCACTCACGGACATGCCCACAACCACAAACAGGCACACGGTGGACTGAAAAAAATTGAGTTTCTTACCCATTTTCAGCTCAAAGTTCTTTCTGGTTGAGCCATATTTATTCTCTGCTGTGCACTGAACCCCACTTTGGATTAGCTTGGGGGTTAGTTCCACTAACAATTCGGAAATATATTTATTTGCCGAGTGTTTTACGGGAGCCTGGAGAGAGTGAGGTGAGAGAGAGAGTTTAAAAAAAAGGATTTGGCACATGAAAACAGGCAGAACAATTGCTGGCATTCATAGCAACAGCGTTCTAGCGCCGTAGACTTATAGACTGCTTCCCAGCCTTCTCTAAGAGGTTTATAGAGCCATCATGATTGCCCACAACTATCTGGGTCCTCATTTGACCGACCTCGGAAAGAGGGAAGGCTGAGTCAACCGTGAGATGGTTAGGATCGAACTGCCGGCAGTTGGCAGAGTTAGCCTGCAAAGCTGCATTCTGACCATTGTGCACCACAGAAGGGAAGGATGGACGAAGGAAGGGAGGAAGGACAAAAGGGGAGGGAGGGAGGGAGGGAGGGAGAACAAAGGGGGAGGAAGGGAAGAAAGAAAGGACAGAGAGGGAGGAAGGAGGGAAGGGAGGGAGGGAGAGAGGACAAAGAGGAAGGAGGGAAGGGAAGGGACCTTGGACAGACTCACCTCCCCACCAGGTATGTTCCATCTGATCTCTGGAGGAGGATGGCCTAAAACGGTACAGGTGAACTTCACTGTCTGGTCTTGGAGGATGGTTTGTTGAATGTCTACCTCTGGCTTTCCTGTATGAGAAAGTGAGAGTGAGTTAGTGAGAGAGAGAGAGAGAGAGAGAGGAAGAGAAGGAGAGAGACAAGGAGAGAGAGAGATGGATGGACATTGGCCCCTATGTCACAAAATGAAATTCAAGGGTGAAAAAAGTCAGGTTCTACATTGAGGCAAGAAAAACCAAAGGCACAGGTACAGTATAGGTGGCACCTGGCTCAAGAGTAGTAATTGTGAGAGGGATCTCGGAGTCCTAGTGGACAACCATTTAAATATGAGCCAGCCTTGTGCAGCAGCTGCCAAAAAAGCCAATACAGTCCTAGGCTGCGTAAACAGAGGGATAGAATCAAGATCACGTGAAGTGTTAATGCCCCTTTATAAGGCCTTGGAAATAAGGCCACACTTGGAATACTGGATCCAGTTTTGGTCGCCACGATGTAAAAAAAGATGTTGAGACTCTAGAAAGAGTGCAGAGAAGAGCCACAAAGAGGATTAGGGGGCTGGAGGCTAAAAAAACATATGAAGAAGGGTTGCAGGAACTGGATGTGTCTAGCTTGATGAAAAGAAGGACTTGGGGAGACATGATAGCAACGTTCCAATATCTCAGGGGCTGCCCCAGAGAAGAGGGAGTCAAGCTATTCTCCAGAGCACCTGAAGGCAGGACAAGAGGCAACGGGTGGAAACTAAACAAGAGAAGCAACCTAGGAGAAAATTCCTGACAGTGAGAACAATTAACCAGTGGAAAAACTTGCCTTCAGAAGTTGTAAATGCTCCAGCACTGGAGGTTTTTAAGAAGATGTTGGACAACCGTTTGTCTGAAATGGCAGGGGGGGTTTTCCTGCCTAGGCAGGGGGCTGGACTGGAGGACCTCCAAGGTCCTTTCCAACTCGCTTATTCTGTTATTCTGGCATCCCAGGGCTCGAGGCTTTAAGGCTGGGCTCCCAAAAATGTGAATAGTAGATTAGGTAAGCTAATTGGAATGCTTGTGTGTACGTGAGTCACAGGGAGGGGGAAAGGATGTGACTTCTAACCCCGTCCTCACCCCCCCCCACCCCGAGCTATAGTGTCTGACAGTTCCTACTAATCTTCACACCTTTGCCAGGATTGTCTCGTCTCATCTTTCTAGGAAAAGCTGTGTCAAAAATAACCTCTGAATGAAGAGCGTCACACCTCCACAAGCTTTTGAGGGCCAAATTGTTTACTACGAAAGGAAAGTTAGCTAGAGAAAGAGGATCCCAGGCCAAAAGGTGTCTTTAAAGTATCCGAAAGCCCACTGTTCCTTCTTTAAGAGGGGTGGCCTTCAGCTCCCAGAATTCCCCAGCCGGCGTGTTTCCAGATGGGTGAATCCCATCCTATCCCAGAATCTCCACCCCCGCCCCCGCAAACCGCCATGTTTTTTGATGTGTGGACTTCCAACTATGTGTATGCCTGCCAGAGTTCCGTTTTTGTAAAACGGGGGCGCCTAGAAGTCTTTTAAACCAGCTAGCTGGAGGGTGGGAAAAAGGAAGGTTATTTATTTATTGAGCGGTACCCTTCTTTCAAACAATTCTGGGAGCCAGTTTGGTCCAGTGGTTAAGGGGCAGAGCCAGGAGACAGGGAGTTCTAGTCCCGCGTGAAAGCTATTTGGGTGACTTTGGGCCAATCACCAGGTGACAGTGAGTTCTAGTCCCACCTCAGGCATGAAAGCCGGCTAGGTGACATTGAACCAATCATCAGAAGATGGTGGGTTCTAGTCCAACATTAGGCACAAAAGCTGGCTCGGCGATTTTGGGCCAATCGCCAGGAGACAGTGAGTTCTAGTCCCACCTTATGCAGGAAAGCCGGCTGAGGGATTTGGGGCCAGTCCGTCTCTCTCTCAGCCCGACCTCCTTCACAGGGTTGTTGCCGTGGGCAAAATAAGAGGAGGAAGAAACACTATGTGTGTGTGTGAGCCACTTTGTGTTACTTATAAAGTAAACAAAAAAACCCCCAAAACCACAGGTTAAACACCTAATAAATAAATACACCAAATCTCCGGCGGTCTCCCAATCCAAAATTAAAAGACGTATCAAATCCTATCCAAAGCATAGAATTAAACGGATTAAAACGTTAAAAGCTCAACAGCTCTGTCCTCTTCCGGTAACTGATTGCAGCATCTTCCTTTCCTGCACCCTCCCTCCAGTTCCACTTCACCTCCTTTACACACACACACACACACACACACACACACAAGCCCCACTACCTACCTACCTTCTACTATAACTTGGACTGACTCGTTCCGCTTCAGTCCGGAGATGCTGGGCACGGAAGCCTCACAGATGTACGTGCCCGCCATGGGGTATGTCAGCCGTTCCAGCGACAAAGTTCTGCCGCTGCCCAACTGCTGCCTCCCCTGCAGGAGAAATTTAAACAAACAAACCCCACAATTGCTGCTGTTCCCCCAGATGTGATTCCCTGCCAGGAGAGATAACGGTCTCAATTCAATCAAAGGCAAACTGCAGAACGTGGGTCCCTTCTTTGGGTCGGGGGGTTCGTATCACGAAACCAAGGCAGGAAAATTGAATCCGAAGGAATATTATGGCTCCCACTGGGAAAATCCCGTGGAAACCAAATTGGCTTCTGTGAGGTCCTGCCTTTCCGTCAAACTTGTCGGCGGGAAAAGGGCCGATCGATTCTGTTCGGGATTCCTTGCTTTTAGAGATTAACGGAGCTTTTCGCTTACGAGACCAGCACTGAAACCGGTATCCAAAGTAGTGAGGATCCAAATCCTTTTCCCACCTCGCCGGAGTGTGATCTCTTGTGTGTCTGATCCGCCTGGCACAGCGGAGGAATTGTAGAGGAAAGGATCCGAAGAGAGTAGCCTCATTTTTTTTTTCAATGTGTATTCCCCAATTGTCTGCCTGTTTATTCTCTTCTAATCCCTTCCTCTCAATGGTAGGATTCGAAATTTTTTTATTACCGGTTCTGTGGGCGTGGCTTGGTGGGCGTGGTGTGGCTTGGTGGGCGTGGCAAGGGAAAAATACTGCAAAATGTCCATTCCCTTCCCATCCCACTAACCTGCTTTCCAGCTCCGTTCTCCTGGGCAGGGCAACCAAAGGAGACCCAGCCGATCAGATGGGACTCAGGAGGCGGAGCATAGATGGGGGCGGGGCCAGTCAGAGGCGGGATTGGCCGGTTCTCCCAACAACTCAAAATTTCCGCTACCGGTTCTCCGGGACTGGTCAGAACCTGCTGAATACTCACTTCTGCTTCCTCTCCAATGAATGTCAATACCAACATTTAATTTCTTTCTTGGTAATTATCCCAGCATCAAGGTAAGAATTTAACGGGAGTGGAGGGGGCGAAAATAAAACCTGAAGTAAAATCCCTCCTAGCAACCGTGTCATTTAGTGACCAGGTTACCGATCCCAGGGGTGCTCACTAAGTAAGGACTTGTAGCAGATGACCAAGCAGAGCCCAAGGAAGAGGTCAAATGCATCATCAGTCATGACTCCTTTCATGCGCACAAGAGATCTGAGTCCAGCCCATCGTGAATTCCTTATTTACCTCCAATTTGCTTGGACCCTCGCACATCCGTGCTAGTCGTTTCCGGCTCTAGGGGGCGCTGGTGCTCATCTCCGTTACAAAGCTGAAGAGCCAGCGCTGTCCAAAGACGCCTCCGTGGTCATGTGACCAGCATGACAAAACGCCTTCGAGGGCGCACAGAACGCTGTTCCCTTCCCACCAAAGGGGTCCCTATTTTTCTACTTGCACTTTTTTTACGTGCTTTCGAACTGCTTAGGTTGGCAGAAGCTGCTGGGACAAGGAATGGGAGCTCACTCCATTACGCGGCGCTAGGGATTCGAACCGCCTGAACTGCCGACCTTTCTGATTGGCGTCCTTAGCCACTGAGCCTACAATAAACCTTTATACCAATTTGAACGGCCCGGGTCTTCTGTTTTCCCTGACACATGACAGAGAACTACTTGTATACAAATTTCCTGGGGCAGCCAGTTTTTTCAACTCTCAGGATTTCGAAGAAATCCTGACCATGGATCCACGCAGCGTTCCGGCAGAGGTGTGACTTACGAAGGAAGCCCTTGCAGATCCTACCTACCTTCTTCCAGGACAACGTGGGTAAGTTGGAGCCACTGCCAGAACAGTTCAACTGAAGGTCTTCACTTCGGTTGACTTTCACTACCTTGGTTGGGTGGAGGACCACGGGGTCCAGATCTGAAACCCAGAAGACAAGGCTTGATTTTAATTAGCCATTTAGCAACTGTCTGTCGAGATTCTCAGTCCTCCTGGTCGTGGTTGTCCCAAAGGTGCTTTTTTTAAAAGAGGCTTAAAGAGGACTTCCTTGTTGTTGTTTTTTTTCCTTTGGAAGACGTTTTGCTTCTCATCTTGTCAAGAGATGAAGAAGCTCCTTGGATGAGAAGCGAAAGGTCTTCAAAGAAAAAAAACCAAGGAAAGTCCAGTTGCCTCCTGAAAACAAGCGCATCTTTGGGACAGTGGCGGGATTCAATTTTTTTTTACTACTGGTTCTGTGGGCGTGGCTTGGTGGGCATGGCATGGCTTGGTGGGTGTGGCTTGGTGGGCGTGGCAGGGGAAGGATACTGCAAAATCCCCCTTCCCTCCCCACCCCACTAACCTGCTTTCCAGCTCCATTCTCCTGGGCAGGGCAACCAAAGAAGACCCAGCCAATCAGCTGGGACTCAGGAGGCGGAGAATAGATGGGGGCGGGGCCAGTCAGTGGCGGTATTGGCCAGTTCTCCGAACTACTCAAAATTTCTGCCACCGGTTCTCCAGAACTGATCAGAACCTGCTGAATCCCACCTCTGCTTTGGGACAACTTAGCAACTGGATGATGACAAGGAGGGTTTGGCCTCTCTCTCTCTCTCTCTCTCTCTCTCTCTTTCTCTCTCTCTCTTTCTCTCTCCCCCAGCATTCCGTGGGGCACTCACAATGGATGAAGATGCTGACGTCTTTCTCCAGTTCTACCTCGGAAGGACTATAGAAGTCCAGTACCTGACAGCGGTAGGTCCCACTGTCAGCCTTGGTCACTTGTCGAAGCAGAAGGATACCATCGGTGGTAGTGGGCAGGTCTAACAGGTTATCTGAACCCTGGGAAAGAGGAACAGAAGCAGATAAGGCTGGAGAGACGACCTCAGATCCAGGTCTCAGTCTGTCTGAATGGATCGTGCCAAAATAGGGTTACCAGTTTAATTCTTCTTCCTTGGGGGAAAGGAACTAGGATCGGACCAAGAAGTACCTTCACTTTTATATACATACATACATACACACATACACACACATATACATGCACACACACACACACTGTATATACATTTTTCTTTAATATATATAAGTATTTAATAGACAGTGTATTGTTTGGTTCATTTGACATAACAACAACAAAACAACAACAACAGCAATAATAATAATAATAATAATAATAATAATAATCTTTACTTATATATAATAGTCTTCCTCCAACTTCTAATTTCTACTTTTATTATCTAACCATTGATAAAACAATTCCAAAGTTAAAAAAATATTCCGTCTCTTCTCTGTGCTTTATCTGTAATGTTAACCAACCCATTTCTGCACAATCTAACATTTTTTGGATTATATTTTCCTCTGAAGGAGTTTCCTCATTGTTCCAATGTTGGGCATACCATTCCCACTGCTGTCAAAACATGTAGTGTTAAATATACATTCCCTTTATTATATTTTTTTCCGGCCAAATACCTAACAAAAAATATTTCTGGCTTTAAACCGATATGTTGCTTTATCATTTTCTTTAACCATGCGTGTATTTTCATCCAACATTTTATTTTTTTTTGCCTTTGGGCAACTACCTGCACTTTGAAGAATGAATATTCGGGTTGGGGAAACCCATCGCCCTGGCATCGCAGCTGCACATCGTCTCCTTCTTTGATGACTTTTGGCGAATCCAAGACAAATTGCACGTTTTCGGTATAATCTACGGTGGGTAAAAGTAGGAAACAGGAGCAGCAATTAAAACCGAGTGTTCTAGGAATTATAATGCAATAGAATAGGATAGGATAGGATAGGATAGGATAGGATAGGATAAGGATAGGATAAGGATGGGATGGGATGGGATGGGATAGGATACGATAGGATAGGATAGGACAGGACAGGACAGGATAAGAATAGGATAGGATAAGGATGGGATAGGATAGGATAGGATAGGGTAGGATGGGATGGGATGGGATAGGATAGGATAGGATAGGATAAGAATAGGATAGGATAGGATAG